CCCTCAGCTATCGAAATCCTGCTCACTTTTCAGAGTCCATCTCTAATGTTATCGCCTTGCTCAAACATTTTTTACCATTCCCCCTTCCCATTCCAGATGAGTGTTGCCCATCTGATAGCAGGAGTTTGTCTTTCCTGTGCTGTTCGATGTAACCTAGAAGAGTGTTAACCTTTTGAGGGCAGGAGTGTGTCTTACTGTAGCTAATTCTGTAGTTCTAGCCCAAAGTAGTATTGCAAAGATTATGAAATCATGTTTAAGCTTTTGTTAAGTACCTACCATGCATCAAAAAGTAAAATGGTGAGCAAAACAGACACAGTCTGTGCCTTTACATAGCCCATGGCTCCCATCCATGCCCTGAGATGGTCTGGCTATGCCTATGTGCCTTAGGTCAATGCAGCTTTCATGACCTTGCTCTTCCGTTAGTGTGTGACTGTGAACTGTGGCCTTATGGATGCTGCTGTGGAATAGCGGGGTGGCTAGTGTGTGGGCACTGAGGTAGGCATGGGGAGGGAGGCTGGACGTCTGTCCTGCCTGAGGCCTGAGTCAGGGAGATGCGATGTGCCTGGGAGGGACTCTAGAGGGTGCCTCCAGGAGGAAGGGTTGAGGAAGGGAGATTCTGTGGGGAAGCTCATGTGTCAGGTCTCTGTTCCTGGTAGAGGAGGCCATGACCTTGAGCCTAAAGCCCCACTTAATGGAATTACTCTATATGGCACAGGAGATACTTCTTACTGGGCATAAGCTGAGGCTGCCCTGAGGAGCCTGGGGTCAGTATTAACTGAGCCTTGGATTGCCCATAAACCCACATAATAACCACTTGGGCCTTGGGCCTCATGCCAGAGCCTGTACATTCTTCCTTGAGGAAGGTGGAGGACACTGGAAAAACCAGTTAGGGTATGAGAAGCTCCATTTTATGTTGCTGTCAAGGCAGTGTAGGCTCAGGAGCCTGGAAATGTATGTTAGAAAGTTCTGGCTTTTTCAGAAAGTTAGAGGTGTCGATTAGGTCAGCAAGACCCTTCTGTGAACTGAATCTTCTGAATTGGCACGTGGGCAGGACAAGAGTTTGAGGTTTACGCCTCTTCCATCTCACGTGATGTACCCAGCACATCATCCTGAGTAGAGCTGGGCTTTGGCGTGTGTGTTATATGTCCACCAGTCCTGTAAGATGGGCCACTAAAAGCTAAGTGGCCCATCTTACAGGACTGAGAAGGGAGCTTTGCGAGTGGGTATTTCTGGGTTCGGCCAGCGTCATTTCCGGGCCTGGTGGGAGCTGTGGTGATGAGCTCCCTGACACACAGCACTGTGTCCATTCTGCCATCTTCATGTCCTAGGATTTGCACGGCATTTGGCCCATGGTTGTTGTTCAGCAAATATTTGGAATGAATGATTTAATTTCATATTTGCCCATTCTAGTATTCATATGTGTGTGTGTGTGTGGGGAGCGGGGGCGTATATTAGTTTCCTGTGACTGCTTTAACAAATTACTACAAATGTGTTGGCTTAAAACAACAGAAGGTTATCCTCCTAAAGTTCTGGAAGCTAGAAGTCGGAAATCCAGCAGGGCCATGCTCTCTCTGGGGGCTTTAAAGGTGAATCCGTGCTTTGTCTCTTCTAGCTTTTGGTGGCTCTAGGCAGTACTTAGCTTGAGATTGTATCGTTTTAATTTCGGCTCTCATGTTTACACAGCCTCCTCTTCTTTCTGTCTCCTCTGTGTGTCTCTTACAAGGACACTTGTCATTGGATTTAGGGATATTTGGGACAATCCAGGAAGATCTCATGTCAAGATTCTTAATTGTATCTGCAAATACTGTTTTTCCAACTATAATATAACATACATAGGTTCTGGTGATTAGGGTATAGATGTGTTTTTTTGTGGGGGACACCATTCAGCTCACTATAAGGGGTCTTAGTATTTTTCTAACCATTTCTCTTTTAGTTATTTTAGATAGTTAGCCATGGATTATAAAGATTTTAATATAGCTAGATTTTCCTTTTCCTCCATGATTTTAGGTTCAGAAAGCCCTTCCCTATACTGACCGTCCAACAAGTAGTCATTCATGTTAAAATGAAACCTTAGGAAAATAGCTTTTTAATTCAGCGGTCACTTGTTTTGATGGCTGCTGTGATTTGAAGGTCTGCATTCTGAAAAAAATAGCTAATCTCTACATGAGAAAAATTTTATAGGCCTATACCCATGAACACATATGAGAGAGAGAAAGAGAATGAGAGAATATATACAACCCAGGGAAATATGAGTAAGGTCTGGGTCTGGTTGATTGTGTTGTGCCATGGTCAATTTCCTGGTACCACCACTGGGGGAAACTGGGGCTGGGTGCTCAGTACCTTTCTGTACTATTTTTATAATTTCTTATGAGTCTATCATTACTTAAAAAAATTCTTTAAAACAACTAATCAGATTTACCAATACCAGTGATTAAAGCATTTATTCTGTTATTTTAAAAACATCTTTTATTAAGTTATGATATATGCTAGGGTGTTTTAGAGTTGTGGTTAAACTTAACTTGGGAATAATTGACATTTAATATATGGTCTTCCCATCTAGAAACATAGTGTATCTCATTTATTCAAACTATATTTTATCTTCCAATGAAACGTGTAGTTTTCTTCAGGTTATTTATAAACATTTTAAAGTGTTTTGTTGTTATTATGGATGGATCTTTTTTCCATTTATATTCTTTAACCAGCTTGTGCTGGTTATATGTCACCAAATAGAATCCCCACACCCTTTCAAATACATGAAATTCTTTTAACTTGGGAAAATGCTTTTCATTCTGCAATTAGAGACAATGTTTAACAGGCTTTTATTCATTCCTTTAAACCTGCTCTCAGGAAGGGTATGGTCAATTGTTTAATGTGGAGTTAAGTAGCTGTGTTCTCTATCCAAGTGTATGGGGCACATTCTTTATAAACAAATATGAAGTTATGTTTCATAAATTTAATGCTCAAGATATTTGTTGGATTCTCTTTCTTTGAAAATTGTAGAGGTGCTATTTCTCATGGGGTCTTGTAGTGTGTTACCTGAGGTGCACTGGGCCCAACCAGGCAGGTGGACAAATGGGGGCATTCAGTTCAGATGGTGATTGGAGCTGGCTATGAACTTTCTTCTCTGCTTTGCTCCTAGACCGTGAGGCTTGGCTGGGCACTGAGGAGGTTATGAAGGCCTCTTACTAGTGCCCCTAGTTTGAAAACACTCAGGTATGGGGACTGTACCATTAACCTTCTTCCAGGTCAGTCTTATGAAATTCGTCTGTTGGAGAATCGGAAGCTGGGAGACTTTCAAGATCTGAGCACAAAATATGTCAAGGTAAGTCTGTGAGGTGCTCTCCCTCCCTGTGGGGTTGGTTGGGGCCTCAGCACCCGGGCCTGCTGTGGGGGTTCAGGAATGACCTTGACCTGGGGAAAAGCTCCAGAGGGAGAGCGAGCTCCTGTTCCCTGCAGCGTGTTGTCCAGGGGCACTAGGGCAGGCCGGCGGTGTTGAGTGCTGAAGTAGCATGGGCTGGTAGACTGGCAGACTCTGGGTTCCAGCCTGGCTTTGCCACTTCTGAACTTTTCTGAGCTTCCATTTGCTCATCTGCACAAAAAGTTTATAAATTAACCACGTACGCAAAGCACTTAATAATTGTGCTAAAAGGGTAGGCACTGTTATTCTTACCGTCGTTGGCATTGACCGGTTTCTCCTGAGGGTGTAGAGTGGCGCATGCTGAGAGCTGGGACAGGAAGCACCAGGAGGAGCGGCCTTAAAGGGCAAGGAGTGTGCCCAGGCTCAGAAGGTGGCGGGTAGGTTCCTCTTGGGTCCTTCTTGGCCCCACACTCATCTGTCCCCTGCCGGCCTCCACTCCCCAGAGCATCATCCGCGTGGTTTTCCATGATCGCCGGCTGCAGTACACGGAGCACCAGCAGCTGGAGGGCTGGCGGTGGAGCCGGCCCGGGGACAGGATCTTGGACATAGGTGAGTTCCCCGGGCCAGGGCAGGCCCAAGATGCTCTAGCACACTGGGGTTCTTCTTGGATGCCATCTGGATCAATGACTGTGCTGGGCATCTTAGCACACTCTTGTCTTGTGCAAAACCCTGTGGGAGCGGACAGAGATGAACACACTGCTGGGCCTGCACTCAGGGAGTTCCCCTGTTGGTGGAAGAGAAAGGCAGGTGGAATTCAAAGACCTGCTGTCGGAGTTCCAGGGGAGGCTTCGCAGAAGGATCGTGCCTTAGAGAATTTTGATACATAATGAAGGGGAGGATGGGCATCGCAGAGACGGGCAATGAAAATGGAATCTTGGGGTCTTTGGCACTCTCAACAGTCCTTTATCCACAGCCCTTAGGGCCAGATGGGTTTTGGACTTCAGAAGTTAGAAGTTAGAATGACAATAGGGTACATAGACCCATAGCATCGGGGAAGGCCTCCAACAGGCAATCAAGCACAATAATCTTCTGCAGCAAAATAAAATGACTGTTTACACTAAATGGTATAAAGGCTGAATAGCTTCATGGCAATTCAAGTCAGGCTTTCTGCCAAAGGAGTTATGCAAAACTTAGTTTTCAGAACTTTTGGCATTTCAAATTGTGGTTAAGGAATTTGGACCTGTAATGAGAGTCCTTCCCTCAATATTTGGGAGTGGCTGACAATTGCACTTTTGTGTGTGTGTATGTGTGCACAGATATTCCACTGTCTGTTGGTATCTTGGACCCCAGGGCCAGCCCGACCCAGCTGAATGCAGTCGAGTTTTTGTGGGACCCTTCGAAGAGAGCCTCCGCATTCATTCAGGTAAGAAGGAGGGATGTTGCCCACTGTGGGGAGGCCGGAGCTTTGGGGTCCATTTTGCAGTTCCTCAAACCTAACGCCTCTGGCAGGGCCCTACTGAGCTTCTGTTCTCTGTTGCAGGGAAAG